GTCGCAATTTTTCCTTGTAGCACGTCTCTGGTGCTTGCTTAGGAACTGGAGACTTTCGTACCGGTGACAAAAAAAGGTTTCAAATCAAAAGGCTGGCAATTTTTCCTGTATTAGGAACGAGACCTTCGTACTAGTAATTGACAAAAAAGAAGTTTTAAACCATTGATGCATGTATGAACTCTGTCCTGGATCAAAAGCATCTTTCTTCGTAGGCACCGAATCGTTATAAGAGTAGAAGGCACTAACGTATCTAAGAGGTACATTTGGTTACCATGCAAACGATATTCACAATAACACGGGCTCTACCTTACGGTTAAAGACGATAAGAGATGAGGGAAGGAAGGTATTTTGAGAAAACTGTGTAGAAATGTTCCAGAACAGCACAGTGCTTGCAACAATAGCCTGTACAGTCTCTTTCAGATAAATTGAGACAAGCGGAGAATTGCCATTGCCTGTTTAAGACTTAAATGCTCCATAACAGCTCAATAACAGCGGCATGTAACTATCAATTCAATGTATTTCAGTATTTTATTCCCCCACCTAACCTGTGATGGAGATGGGCAGGATTGCCGGTTACCCCGGCCCGGGACTTGACATCAGTGCCTACAGGGCCCTCATTGCTTTGCGCTATTGTTCGGCTCACTTGGATCATTCGCTCAGTCAAACTTAACTTGATTAGATCTAAGTAAACGGTAAATTTTTCGGTGTCTCCTTTATTACTTTAAGCAAGCGTGCGCGCGATCTATTCTCTATTCATCTTATGTCAAATCAAATTTTTATTGATCTCAAATATGATCAAACCGCGCTAAGGGTTAAATTTCTTTAGTGTGATGGCAATCAGATAGACTGGTCTAAACAACTACAAGGGTTCATAGATTGGTCTTTCTCCGCACTTCAGTTGCTTTTGTCGAATTTCTACCTAACGGGCCATTCTTAGCTAACGCCTGTCTGTGAAATCGTCCTTCTATTGTTCCTACAGAAAACAAGATTGGTTTTGGCTTTTTGGGAGTGGCTTTCTCAGCTTGTACAATTTTCAGCAGTATATTGTAGACTCGCTAGATCAGATTTGTACTTGGGCATGACAGTTTAGTCTTACAGTGCCTCTCTGCACCTAGGTGTATAAATCGGTACCGGCGAATTTAATGCTGAGGTTAGCCCTGCGCTGGACTAGCATCCCATCTAGCGGGGGCGGGGGGNCTTCATGCTACTGAAACCGGAGACAAGCGTCGGCTTGAGGTGCAAACTGGCTCGCATGCAGACTTTACCTTACTAGATCCGATCTCAACTGATACAAGAAAAGAGAAATCGTGATGCAAATCTGGACTCGAGTACAAGTAACCAGGTTCATGTCTTCATGGAAAACAATCTTGTCGGCGCAAAACATGGTAGTAGTCGATCGATATAAGCCGAGTACTGCTCTAAAGAGCTTTGTTTCTTGGATATCATCTAGGATACGATGTAATAATAAGCATATAGTTTAGTTTTACGTACTGAAACAACTAGCAGTCTATGACCGCGACTGAGATAGTCCAGGGTCCAGTAATCCAGTAGTCCACATTCCATTCGTCTGTCGAAAGGAAATTAGAGTTGATGTTTCGAACTTAATTCAGGGCATCATCCCAAATCAAGCCTTTTGAACCATTCTACAGATTCAGTCTTTCGATGCTGGCTATTTTAACAAACTCTATGACTCTAAAATGCCTTGAAAACATCACTTATCGTGCTATCAAACTATTTATCACTTGCGTCCAAGGCAAACTCGCATCAAACAATACCGGTGCTCTGAGCTTTTGACCTTTTGCTGTCAGAAAATTAATTTGTGTGATAACACTTTGATATCGAACGCTATTCAGGGAACGAGACCTAATGGAGCCTTCAAAAAGACTCTTTAAAAGATGTTATCTACGTGTTTAACATCTTTCGTGCCATATGTTTAGGAGAAAGTTTTTCCGGCATGTGTGAAGGTAATTTGTGTCTTGCATCGCATGCCAGTCGGAATTCGGCGTGTTTTCCGGTGAAAAGTCTTGGTTTCTGAGCTTAGTTTAGCGGTGAGACCACACACCATTTTGCATGAGTTCCGTGAAGCGTGGAGACGAGAGATAAAGGCAAGTTGCAGGATAATCCTCGCTGACAAGGAAGATGACATGTGCAAGCCATCTGCTCTCCCGGATCTCCGTCATATCTGTAATACTGGACAATACTAGTTCTTCTCGAGGATACAAAGAAAAGAGCCAGCACTTGATTTAAAAACGAAAAGAAAACAAATTTACCGTGCTGTGAGACTGTAAAAAAGTAACAGAAAAACTAGAAGCAATACTCTACCTGATGTTAATCATAAATTCTTAAAATTCTTTTGGTTGGTTTCAAACTGATTTTCTGAGACGATCACGTCTTTCTCTCTAGAGACTTGTATCCTCGAATTTGTTAGAAAAACATAAAAAGAGACTACTGCCAGAGGACAAGAGCAATACTTAGTTTTTCCCTCGATTTCCAGTGTGTCATACAAGTGTGATAGTCGTATCTAGGACTCCTTCGGTACAAAAGCAGTTATACCTATAATTTATGGACGGTTATCCCACCTTATCTCCAAAATTAATTACGAAGCTATCCCTAAAATTACGTCTCTTTGAAATTTGCCGATATATGTTGCAGATTTCATTGCTCTTGGGTTCAGAAATAGCTAATTTCTATATCTCTAAGTGTACTTCTAAGTGAGTACTTTGCTCCAAGTATGCTTTCTCATAAGAAAAAAAGATTAGGCTTCACATAATGGCTGTACTACATTTGAAATCATTAATCGTCTTCATACCTATCAGTTGTGCGACTAGAAACACCCAGGATTATTATAAAAAAAGCTAAACTGCTTATCACTTATACCTTTAATTCTGAGCCCAGTTATCCCTTATCCGTGTAATTATTTTCCTATCTATCCGTTTAACCCTTAAAAACCTCCGACCTGCATGTTGCTGGCGCACTCGGTGTGCGGTTAGCAGCGAACTGGTTAGTTGTCTCACCGCCAGCTAAAATATGTCCATAAGAGAATTAAGAGAAACTATCTGCGTGACCCAACTGTGAAGTTGTCACATATATATATTGCCGCATTTTTTTTTTTTTTTTTTTTTTTTCAAGCAACTCTCCTAATCAAAGTGCTTCGCTAGTTTGTGGAGCTGTTATTCTTATGATAAAATCAAAATTACCTAGTCTGAAGACCACATGGGACGTGTGCGTCTTATTTAGGTCTGGTAAAAGTCTTTTGTCCATGAACGGATCTTTATTTTTAGTGAAGCTCGTAATTTATAAATCCTTTGAGTATGACCTCCTAAGCAGCTAAGATCCTGTATAATATCGCATCCTGATAAGGTGGTTTACCAAATTGTGTCCTTAACGTTGTGCTTTTGTCAAGATAAAACAAATAACCCAGTAATCCTCTTAAAAACGAGAAATTGCTTTTTCTTTGATTCGTTCAAGAGGTGACTTATGAACATCGATTTCAAATCAAACTCAAGATTTCCCGATTGTTAAGGTTGAAGTTAAAAGTATTTCACTGCAAATATTAACTTTAGAGCAACGTCTCCAATGGATACAAGCTCGAATCATTACATGGGAAAGAAAATAACATGAAATAAGTGAATTATCGACAACTGGATGTGTTTATATTTGGACTCTAAATGAATTTCTCGCTATGGATTGACCTAACATGTCTCATCTTGATCAAAACCTCTAAACTCATCTTGTGCATATGTTTGTGTTGTGCTAAAAAATGACACCTTGTGCGCCAGTGAAACCACATTTTCTTTTGGTCTCATAAATTGTGTTCCACTCTCCTGAACTCTCCCTCGGGCCTAGCACAGGGTAGGGACGTGACTGGGGTGATATCAGGTCAGCTCACTGCTAGTCATGATATCGAGTCAGAATGAATTCAAAATTTGGCTAGCATGGCATCTCCAGTTTCTATCTAACCATAAAAAAAGTCTCTAATCCCTGAGTGTATGTTTGAAGAGTGAAGGCCAAGATAACTTTCGTCTAAGATCGATGCTCAGTCTTCGTTATTCTTTGCGCCCGTCTGCATGAAACTATAGACATTGTTTGGAAAATAGAGACTCTGATCACTGTTAAAAGGCATTATAAGTGAATTGTATCTGGGGAAATTGCAGTCATTCGACTAACTCTCACTTCTAAAGACAAACCTTAGTCAAGTATAATGAGTGTCTGTGATTGAGACCATACTACAATTTTGTTACCAATGTAAGAGAGCTGTTGTTGATCAAGGCTTTCGTGTGGTGCTGTTTGTTTTTCAACATTTATTAAAACAATGTTTTTTTAAAATTTTGAACTTTGGCACTCTTTGAAGTGAAAAGGTTAAAATACAGAACATTTTTTATGTGGTTACGAAACCACCCAATGCTTCACAAAACACGAAAGATTCTTCCACCACACACTTTATTGTAAACCATGTGACAATTTATGAAATGGGGAAGAACTGTACAACTCGGTCTTGACACGAAAAATATAACTATATAATGATCTGTGAACTGTAACTTTTCAATCTGGAATTCTCAGGTAGGGCTATAAATCTTCTGTGATGTAATAAAGAATAGTTTAAATCCAACACATTCGTTGCGTGTATGGAAAGAAAGAATTCGAATAGGAAAATGTAAGGTATGCTAACAGATAAGAACATCGTCTGGCCTGCTCAACATATCGTTGACTGCTTGTCGTAGTTTAGAAATTCCGCCAAGTTTGTCTGGATCTTTGAGAACTATTATGAAATAGTTCAAAGACGAAAGTTACGTGATGCAAACACAAGAATTTTTTTCCTTATTTTTTTGGGCGTTGTCTCAAAGATTAGCTTTTCCATTCTAAAGTAAGTATCCCCATTTCGATAGCATTCAGCTAGGTCCACGAACATGCAAATTATCTTCTCCGTAGCCTTTCTATTTTGTTTCAAACAGAAATTCGTTACACCAATAAGCCTATCTATTAGAAGACAATACAGCCTGTCCGCGTACTTGTTTATTCATACTGTATAACTTGTTTACCATACCTCGATATTGTTTAGCAAATTCAAATTTTGACCTATTGTTACCGTACAAATGAAGCCTGTATTGGCAATGGTATTTATTGTGTTTTAAATTGTCATTAAGTTCTTTTAAACTTTTGTTACACCTCTTCATTGTTAGTAAAATTAAGGGTTAAACAAAACCTCATGAACTGAACATTTGTTGTGGAGTAGTTTAAAGTGAGTGCCCCCAGTTGAAACATTATTGACAAACATTTGGGCCTAGGAACCCTAGCTGCAGCCTATAACTCCTTTACTTTCAAATTGCACATAATTCCTTTACTGTCACTGCAAAGAACTAAACCTTAACCTCGTCTATAACGACAACCAAAATTCCTGAGAGCTTAGTTCTCTTTGTCATCAGTAACAAGCATGAAAGTGCGTCGTAGCAGCGCACGAATGAAAGCAATGACAAGCGTTCCACACCTCACAACCACTCGAGAAGCCTGCGTTGGGACTCATTGGTGAGCACAAGTGTTCCTGTCTCTGGAAGTGAAGCGGAACTTCCGGAGTTGGATGGCAACAGTGAACAATATTTCTTGGTCCTGGTAACTGAGAACCTTAATAAAAGAACAAAAGCAAGTAGTTAACATGATATTATAACACACATTCAGGCCCACTTGCTTGCTTCATACTTACTTTGCTCACTTGAGCAAGTGCGCAATAAAGGGATATACTCCAAGCGAACACGAATAATTTTTGTCTGTGAAAGAGGCAGGATTAATTTCATCCTTTGTATGTAGCAACTCTTTCACGCTTGTTAAAAGCTCAACGCGATCGTGTCATCGCTTCTTGGGAAAGATGTGTAAGGAGGTCTGATAAAAGGGATTCCCCTGTTTTAGGAACCAAACTGTCATCGCTTCTCAGTTCGGAGTGGAAGAACGGAGAGCTACAAAGCTTTCGTCGTTGCAGACAGAATTAGGGTCAAAATGTACAGGAGGTATCCCTTTCAGTGTGTCTTTAGCTTACAGCACTAGTCTATTGCGGGTTCCAAGTTAGATGAGCTTTGTATGAAAACCACTAATTTACATTACACTGATCAGTTGTGCTGTCCGTATAGGGTGCACTCCATTCAGTTGCATAAGTCACAACTTGTAATGAAGTCAGTCTGTCACCAGTTACTCATTTTGATTTATTTCATACTACTTTCATAGAATATTTACAGCTACAACTTAGATTTAAGCTGACAACTTTGAATGAAGCAAGTCATGCTTGCTGCTTGTTGTTACTGAACACTTCTTCGTGTTCATTTATCATGGTACGACCTACACATCAGGTGTTTGTTCTCAAATGTTCAACAGTAAACTTGATAGGTTTGCCAGTTGTATCTGATCCCGCAATACACGAATGCTTCACTTTGAAGGAACCTTACTTTAAGTCAAGAAAGCCTTAAAGAAATTTAGCTTTGTTTGCAAACACAACTCAGTTGTTTGGAAAGATTCATAATCGCAGTCCATAAATTGTTATCAATGGCTATGTACTCAGTGATATAAACGACTTTACATGATTGAAGCTCGAGGACCTCGAGAGAATTAAAAAGGTTTTATTATAATGGAATTCCATGGAACAATGATGGTCACCTTACTAAGACATAGTAAGTCAGTGTAAGAATAAAGCTGTTAGTTTAACATCAGCCGTGCAAAAAGTGAGTAATAATGTATAATATTACAATGAAGTGAAAGAAATGGGATATAAAGTGCCAAGGATTCTTAGACAAAGAGGTATGTCTTGTGGAAAAAGTGCTTTCTTTCAGTCTTCTTGTTCACTTTTCGAAGTCTCGTAAGGCACGTTTTAAATACAAATGAATTTTGCCTAACATATCGAAAAGATTCTCGTTTGCATTGTAAATGTTACTTCAGTGTTTGCTGAATCAGCACACAATGAACTTTCAATGAACGTTTTATAAAACGCAAGTTGTTAACAACATTTAGTAAGTCTCATGCAAACCCCACAACTTACTTTCGAAACCTGCTGTGAGCGTTCAGTCAACAATGAGAAAACTAAAGTTTATTTTAGGTTAAAATGTTTAGTATAAAAGCATAAACTTTTCGCCCAGCTTGTGGTTAAATGTGCGGTTTACCCTTATTGCCTAAAAGTGAAAAGCTATTATGAATAATTTGGCATCATTTGACTTCTTTCTCAAGGATTTAGTTAAATTGCGTGCCCCGGGATTGATTTTTCATCAATTGCGCATATCTCGATAGATTACAGCTTGTGAAACTCCGCGTCTCACATTTCTCAAGACTTTTTTCCAAAATGCTGTCTGATTTTGGCAGCAAAACAGTCTGAAAGTTAGCTAAATGGAAATAAAATTACTTTCAAATATAAACAAAACTCAGTTACGAATTTGTGTTATCGCTGTGGAATTCAGTTTAGAACGGAAGTTCTCGATTTCTATTCTCTGGAATTTGAGATAGGTGCTGCAAGGTGAGTTGCAGTCGTACAAGTGTGCCTCAGCTAATTCGAGCCAAAACTAAGAGAGACTGATTTGCTGGACCGCAGTTTGATTTATAATACAACGAGCAGCTAATTTGACGACTGAAATATTTCATTGAGTAACGAAAACCGATGAAGGTATTGTCTCAATTTTTTCAGTGCTGCACTCGAAAACGCCTCGCGCATTCTTTCACTTCTTTCATCTTTCACTAAGATGGGTGTCACTGGCTTAGGGAAGGGCTCTTCAAACATCAAGGCATTTAGCACGGTGGATATTGATATTACTTAAAGCGTGAAACGTAAACCAAAGTTCTCCTGAACTCTGAAAATCGGCGCTATAAGTGGTTCCGCAAGCACAAAGTGGCTTCTTTAGAAGTGCAAGTAAAATTGTTTCTTTCACAATGTTTCAATCTCATTGACAAATAGGAGGATTAGCCCCAAGTACTCGAGCGCTCCACTCGAGTTTATAAGCGGAAAGCGAATATTTATTAAGGTCAAGTGTCCAAAACTCGATTCGACTTAAATTTTTCAATTCAAATCGGAGCAAATTCATCCGCTTTACGCCGAGTTTAGCTTCAAAACTCCTCTACTTCACGGTGATCCGTATGAGAGAGAAGTTGCGCTTTAATCTAGTGATGTAATTACTTGGACGATGCGACGTTAATGAAGTAATTTATTTTGTGATTTCAATAAGTTTACGATAAATCGCGATCATTTATTTCAAGCTTAAAAGGTGTTTATTCAGTGGGTGTTTGTGAACTGTGCCTAACAGGTTTACCGTTTGCACTGATCACGCGCACAGTTGGTTTGTTTGCGCTTCCTGTCTTCGACGCGTCCCGTACAATACACCTCATGAATTTGTACCCACAGGAACCTGGTAAATTTAAAGCAAACACCGGAAACTCCAAGTTGCTATTAAACTTACCTATGTTTGGATTAAGCACACTTCTCACAGGAAATGTCGTTTCACTCCTCCTTCTCGCGCCAATCGTGGTCTCCTTCGTCCGCGTCTTTCCTTCAGATAGAATGCTTTCGATAGAGAACGATCCACGGAACTGTTTGGGTGTTGGGGACTTGTTAGTGCTGTGTACGCTACTAGAAAGCGCCCTGTCTCCTCTGAACGACTCGTAAGAGGGAAGCATAAGAATGCTTCTGCGCGCAGCTTCGGGAACGCCAAACTCCCTCACGGCGTTGTTCGGCAGAATCTGCTCTGTGATAATGCTACGACTTAACTCTTCCCTCTCGTCCTTCCTCTTGGGTTTTCTTCTTCGCCTCCTCCTGAATGTTCCGTCCGCCAGCAGGTAATCGTGCAGCGAGCTAACTGTCCAGTAATTGTCCTTACCCCACGGTCGCGCAGGGTCGCGAAGAATCTTCACAAAGCACTTGTTGAACGACAGATTGTGGCGCACGGAGTTCTTCCATCCTTGGTACGGACCTCTGAAGAACGCGTAATGTTGCACTAAGTACTCGTTGATTTCTGTCAGTGTGAGCTTCTTTCCTGGCGAGTTTAAAATCGCGGTTGCGATGAGCGCAATGTAGGAGTGCGGAGGTTTTAGACGCTCTGTTTTGGACGATAGACACGACTCCTTTCTCTGTTTGCTCGCGGACAGGTCTAAATCTTCGCTGTTGAGTTGCTCCATTGTGTACGCCCTGGACCTCAATCTTTGGAGCTCTTGCAGATTGTTTCGCGCGTTCCTGTGGAACTCAAGTTTTAAGCAAATCTCAGCAATGCGCTTCTCTCGTTTCAGGCCTCGGAGAATGTAAATAATTCCTTTCTAATCTCGCTTCAGCAAATCGACCAGCAATGGCTCCGGCTTGCTAGCACCACCCACATAGGATCAATTAGTGTTTACAAACAGTCAGGCCCGATCAATTAGACAATCGATTAAATTTGTGTACCGTGTAAAGCGGATTTAAACGGGACACTTTAGCAAAGCTCTTGCATCAGTCAGCTGCTCATCCGAACGTGGCTGGCCGCGCTGTGTTCGTGTGCGGAGTGGCATTTTAAAAACCCTCTCAACAGACGCTATTGGCGTGCGCGCCTGGCGTTTGCATCTGTTCTATGTAAGCCAATCTTTTTCGAGGGTTGATTATTGAACATAAGCCGTGCTAAGTTTGGTTATCTCGTCAAGATCAATAGCTGTACGTTCTGATTTCGAGATAATTCGATCGGCGCCATGCAGTGAGACTTGTTCCTTTGTTTTTGGTGTTAAACTGATTCCGGTAACAATTTATCTTAATTAGTGTCATTAAGCGGATTGCAGGCGACAACGGCTTTCCTTAAAACGCTATATTTCACGTATTTCTCTCAGCTATTGGCAGTCGAGCCCTTGTACAGGATGTTTTATTACTCTAGTAACATATATTACACTCCCAATTCGAAACAAATTCACCGCACGATTAAGCACTTTCGCTTCTTTCCGAGCTGAATTCAATTGCGTGATTCTTTTAAATGGCAGCTGCGCAAATTAGCGAGTTCCATAACAAAAGCAGAAGGAAGGCGAAGAAGTGACGATCTCTTCAGAGAGCAGTTAGTTATAAGTGTAAAATACATATTCAATTTTGTTACCGTCCGAATGGGAAAGGTTGAAAGATGACGCACACAAGTTTTCTTCCTTTTAATGGAGCCGTCAATTGCTAGGTGATGGATACAACCTTTTCTTGGCAAGTTTAAACAACTGTGACATGCGCGCTATTAAGGAATATCATAAACTACACAACGTATAAAAGAACTGGAGATCTGTTTGTCTTTGTGTCGTCGGCTTGCCCGCGACTGAGAAAGAAGTCAAAATCGTTTTCTCTGGCGTATCGGCCCGCGCGTGTTGTTCTCGATTTGGGCCTCGCGTCATTAACGCTTGATAAGACTTAATGAATAAAGAGTAAACTTTCAACAGGGTCTATATGAGTAAAAGTTTGTTGTTTAGTCTCTTTGTTTGTTTAGCAAGCTTTTCACGTGGAATGCCTGGCAATGATAATCGTAGATCATGCCTTATCAACCAATTACAGTCAACCAACTTAGATGCCGCTTGGCAATCGACTGGCCATCCCAGCCAAGTCTGTTTACCTGAGAAGCTAAAATGTGGCAATTAAGAGCTTGTTCAAACGACTGTTTAGATTAAAACGTTCAACTTAGACCATCCTTGGCGAAATATACGGACATTCGAGAGTTGGTCGAGTGGTTGAAAACAACTGGTCATAAATTGTAAATTCCTGATGTGTCAGTACAAGAATACCTCCGAGCGCTGCTGTACGATTCTGCTATCTTTGGAAGATGGACAAAGATAAAACATGGAAACTTGAGAAGCGGGGGTTGAAAATTATCGCCATAAGAACAGCAATCCATCACTGTCAGTCATCCATACGGTCTGTTGGAATTTCTGCTTTGCCATGTCCCGCCAGCTGAGTTGATTTTGTGTCTAGTTTATAGTTCGAATAACGAAAATGTAAGCTTTTGAGGCATTATAGTAAGCAATGCAAAACGCTAGTTTGAAAAACGATTTGTTTTTGGTCGCGGAATAACTAGCCCTGGCAACACCCTTTAGTTTCTCGTCTCATTTCAAGAGTATTACCAGTATTCCTTTCCAATGTTTAGCCTCTTTTCATAAACTGTTTCTCTCAGAATTACTTGTTAATGATGATGACTCAAAAGTACACACTTCGCAATCCGTCAAGCTAATAAGCGTGCGCTGCAAACTAAAGAACACATCCACAATTTCGAACGCGGAAATTAAAGGTCAATGTCGGAAAATTGAAGAATTCTTAGGCAAAGAAAAAATTGTCGTTCTTACGACATGTAAAAATACTGTTATCTCAGTGCGCGATGACACACCGTGTACAGAAAAGGAAAGAAAGCCGACCAATTGACTTTTCCCGTTTTATTTCTGTTTTCTGACTCTTCTTTAGCTGTTTTATGACGAGAAATGGTTCTGTTGTTGTGAAGTTGTGCGTCATGTTATGTTTGCTCAAGGGTCAATCTTCACATACTGCATCCTCCTGTGTGCTTGCTTACTGTTTATTCGTCTTTTCATCGTAGATTATCCTCCCTCCTCCCATGTCATTACCCCGATGAATTTAATCACAGACAGCCTGTCTCCGAATCGAAGTTAATTTGAGAGGCCATTTAATTAAGTCCTGATATGTTAAACTTGCGGTCGATGTTATGTACCGAATACCTTTGAAGGAATCTGCCAAAACACGCGTATGCAAAACGAAAAATACTCCAATCTCGGATTCGAGGAACTGATCTCGCCGATCTTGTGCACTCAAGAGGAGCTTAAACCACTTTGCTCTCCGTAAAAAGTAGTGTTGTTTTTACAAGTGGTTCGCGAGTTTATCGCACACGAAAATAAAAACCAAAACACAGGTTGAAACGAGAGAATACATAGATCGTTAACTCTACTAATGAATTACCCAGGTGATCAATGTACTGCATTGAAACGCAACGAAAAAAATCTAGGAAAGTGGCTTTTATTTGCTTCCATAAAAGGACAGTTTTCTTCTTTTTCATTTTTTCCATGTTAGTGGATGTGTTTAGCGAGTGCAAATACAGGATTATGGTACGTAACTGCTGTCATGTGTGTTTGCCTTACGTCATGAAGACACGTTCGTGCGTTTTTTGCTATCAGTAGACGCAGTAATTGAACTTGAGCCATGATGACTAAGTTAAAATCAGTTGGTCTTATCTTGATCACACGTTCGAAATATGTGCTAGGAACAAAAGATCGCAACTAAAATACCGCTCGCTTGGCCGCCATAAGTTACGGATGGGGGTAAAGTTCTTTGAATACTTTCGCATTGATTAGCAGAAACAATCGTTTGAAACTGACCGTCACCAATAATTTTTTTGATTTTCTTTAGTTTTCGAAATATATTCAAATGACTCTCTTATAGCGATGGGCATAATCACCTCATACACTCTAAGGTATTTACAGTTTGGGCAACATTATGATAAAAGTTGCCATAATAAAACTATATAAATCTTTGACTGTACTTCACGTTCTTGTAGCCTGCGTTCTGCTGTCTAGTAGACGTTTGCATGACGATATACTCTACTCTCCGCTTTCAACCTCGTCCCCAAGGCGCTTTTTCCTGGAAATGGAAGGGCATTTGACGGGAGTGGACTGGAGTGGGACGAGACTGATTTTTCCGTTTTAACAGAAGAAGTTGCGTACTCGTTCTCAGGACTTGAGAACTAATTAATTGTTCATAGAGTGGTTTTCGCTTGAGTGTCGAAAATTAACTGGTTTTACATTGCCACGCTATATGATTACCTTAAAATGCTCAAAATACTCGATCTCGCCGCGTTTTCATCCAATCAAAAGTGAAACCAAAACAAATCGTAACTCGTCCGCATGCTTTTTCCCGTGCTTTACTTAAGCTACATGTAATTACTTCGGGTTTTGATTGCCTTAGTGGATTATCTGTGTCCCTTGCTATTGGCCAGAGTGATTACGTTGGCCTTTATTTACGTCTCTCAATTAAAACCTGCTACAGTGTATAACACAATCATTCTCTCATTATTTGATTCCATCGCATGGAGTACTTTGCTACAACGAGACCAGGATAGACTACAGCGTCTGTCTGCCCGGATAATCTCATATTGGGCACGTTTCTCTGAGGCTCTCTCCTCCGCAGAGGCTCAGAGGAGCTCAGGGGATTTTTTTCGGGTGAGAAGAATCCGCCGAGCGATGTGAGTGCAGGTGCACTTTGATCAATTCGACTTTGCGCCTGCACTCACTTCGCGCAGCGGAGTTCTATAAAGAACGTTTAGACCCTCTGCGGAGGGTCCTGCGGAGGGAAGGAGAGACGCCATGAAGCAATGGGATATTTAAGCTTAGCATGTAGCAGGTGCTCCTACCGTAAAGCTAAACTTGTTTTACTCTGTCTTCATTCAATGGTTTCAGGCTACTTTATATCACATTTCACTACATTTTGCGACATTCATAAATACATTACACGTCAACTGAAGCATTCAGCTATCCCTACCAAAGGTTAAACTTAATTCTGAAAACAAAAAAACTTTCTTGGTGGCGCAAAAATTTTTAACAAATTCCCTGCAAATATAGTAACACACCAAAAAAAGTCTGTCTTTCTGCCCCCGAGGTAAACGTTTTTTCTTATCTTAACGTTCATTAACGTATTATATCGTATTTCAGTAATGCAACTGCATATTATAGTTTTCTTCTTATCATTATGTAATATATATTTTTTAGATGCACTGAGGGCCCCAACGGATTTCAACCTTTAAGCTCGAGCTGAATGGGGCACCGTGTTGAAATATAGTTTTACTTTACTACTCCATCTGATGAAATTAATTTAGCACATTCATTTCTGCTGCTGTAGTTTCTAATATTTCGGCGAAAAATTGAGAATCATATCCTAAGGTAAGATAGTAATAACGAGCAACGTACCCATGCGAACAACCTACTCGCCACTTCAAGAACAGCTTTCTCTGCTTGGCACATCGATGTTTATGTTCCGCCTCATTCTCACAGGTATCTTATCTGGTTAAGTTCTGTTTTGTTATGTTCTTGTATTTTTCTGCCTGTTTCTATCACTAAGTTTGTTTTTTCTTTTGGTCACTCCCTCTAATTCCCTTCCTCGGGGAACGAACAGTTGGCGGGCTCGTCCTTTCAACGAAACTCGCGGGGGAAGCACTCCGAAGCAGGCCGGTCAAAAATTAATAACTCTCCGCTATAATCATTGCAAGCGGTGATGATCTGAAGAGGGTCTGTTTTCCAAACAGTTATTATTTTTTTATTTATACCAGTAACTGATGTCTGCACAAATGATGTTATCGCCAGGCTGCAGCTCTGTTGTCGTCGTAAATATAAAGCCCTGCAGATAGTAATTACGGTAACCAGATAAAATAACGAAGTACCAGGAGCCCATTACCCGCTGGTGTTTCTTATTGTTTCACTGCCGCTGGTGCTAGAAATTTACCCTCATTATCTGCCTTAAAGCATGATGTCTCTGGAGACTTTCATTAATTAATTTATTGTCCTTTCGGTTAGCCTTTTAATTTATTTATAACATTTTATTATCAGTAAATACACAGCTCTTAGTTTTATCCTTATCCGTAATCACTAAGAGTCTCACGAAGACCTTTTAAGTGAAGTTGGCTTCCTCAATTAAGAGTTGCCTGTTACCTGTTACCTAAATTGATGCTTCGCTTGCAAGTAAAGCTTCCTAAGGGCTGAAGGGTGCAGGTAGTTATAATGAATGCAATGAAGATAGACCAAGGTAATGCAGGTAGACAGGTGCTTTCTAGGGTTAGTTTACCCTCACTAAATTCTGGCCGGGTAGTCTCCTGTGAGGCTGTCGCGCATCATTTCGGCTCCCTTTTCTTTCGCCCGCCAGCTTTTTCGATCCTTCCCACTGACTGAAACACTTGTAGCTGGAGCCAGGTTGGTAAGGGCAAGGCGTACCCCTTTTCCTTACCAACCTGGCCCCAGCTACAACTTTTTGTTGCAGTCAGTGGGAAGGATCGAAAAAGTTGGTGGGCGAAAGAAAAGGGAGCCGAAATGATGGTCGACAGCCGCACAGGACACATTGTGAAACGTATGGTTTGTCAGGTTACCCAAACATTTTGCTGGCAGTCATTTATATACTCCTTAGCTTGGTTATTCAGAGGGTGGATAGCGAAGTTATTGTTCCTCGTAGTTATTCAATAGACCAATTTCGATATATTAAAATTCGGCTTAAAACAATAGACCTCATACGAGTCTCTGGGGAATAACTACAGAGTTTATGGCATTTATTCCCCAGGCCAGAGCCTCGTGCTGAGGTCTATTGTGTTAGGCTGAATTTTAATATATCGAAAAATTGGTCGATTATCAGTGATTTATCCAGTTGATGGCAGTTATACCCACACTTTGAACATGTTGAATTTGAACATTTTCGGCTCTGGGTGTTGAGAGTTCAGTACTATGAGAATACAGTACAAAGCTACCTTATCCGATGGCTTTTGTGTCATAATTTATTTCACGAAGCCAAATGAAGTCTTATTATGCAAATTGATTTTATGTAACGCGATTAGAAGAGAATTTGCATACAGAGGACAGTCGTGAATATTTTTCCGTCCGAGGGGTCGCTTGTGGTCATTGAACGTCGCTTTACTGTGCTGTTATTTACACCCTAAGCTCCAATCCTAAACTACAGTCGAAGAAATGTCAACACTATTTCCTCGAAACTTGTATTTGTTATTTATCTGTTGGGTTCATCTCCTCGATCAGTTCGCCGTGGAAGCCACAAGCGGAAGTGCTCTAAATCGCCTCGAAGACGTTGTTTTTCCACCGGAGTTTCTTCTATCTAGCGATCCTGACATCCCGGCCGGTCACTTACAAATGTTTGGCTTGCAAAGGCCGCCAAAAGCCCCCGTAGTGCAATACAACACGGTACTAAAACCTCAAGAGTTCTGGGAGAAACACGTCAGCAAATATGAACCTCTTGTGTTTCGCGGGGCCCTAGCGAACTCACCCGCGCTACAGAAATGGACAGACGAATATTTAAAGGAAAAATATGGCGACTTGGATGTATTAACGGAACTGAAAACGGAGAACAGAACTCATGGCATAACGGCGCGTATGTTGCTGGGTGATTTTATTGATGTATACAAGAAAAAAAATCTTTATGTGGTCACGGTGTTGCCTGATCCGATGAGACAAGATCTCCCGGTAAGTATTCATCATTGTTTGTTTTACGTTTGTTTGTAAAGTCAAACTGTAAGTTTTATTACCTTCTGCAATGGTAATCTTCAAATTTTTAACTGATTATCTTTTGTTTGTTGTAATGTATACTTAAACCGCAGCACCTGTCCCCATGCAGTCAAGTGTAAGAATCAACTGTTTCCTTCCCAGTCTTGCCCTCGTCCACCAAATAGCTGAAATGGTTTCCAGTCTTTAAACAAATGGAAAAATATATATACCTTTCCTAAGGGAAGGTATGTTTTTTCTTTGGGGGGGGGAGGGCTGGGGAATTTTGGTATTTTTTTCCAAAAAAAGTGTTGGCCCTCCCTTGCATTTTAATTAAAAAAAACTCCTGACCCCCCACCTTTAGGTGACTGACGAAAGTGTGACCCTCCCCTCACTACTTCATGGTATGTTCCACACCGACTAGAAACCTCAGAACATTTCGCTTGTGAAGGCAAAATGTTTGAATATATATTTATCTCAATACTGAATGTGTGCGAACTGAAACAAGAAAATGTGAACAATCAGTATGGGATATCTACGTTTTATTACTGAAGTTTGAATGTGGAAGTATAAACTTTGAGTATTATTAAAGTTTTGAACATATAGTATCAAAGGGAAAATACACAGGCTTCCTTCTCCGACTAGTCGGCATTACTGTTGGTTATTTTAATAAAAAGGTTTGTTTGTTTCATAGCACGCAAAATCTGACTCGCAAAAACAAATATTTCCTACATTTCCAAATTCTGTTAAAGGCAGGCAGGCTTCTGTTGGAAAAGGAAACTTCTTGCACATGATTGAAACATCATTAAGAACTTACCCATAAAGGCAGATATCTCGCTTGTAATGGCTGCCTACTTTGAGAACAATACTCATGATTCACCCTGGCTGGTCATTGTAAATATTACACCAGATATAAAATATTAAATTATTAAACCAGCGTATATCACATGATGTTTCTCACTTTCCAGGGAGGCTCTGCGTGATCTAGCTCAATTTCCCCTCTCTGAAAGTATTACACAAATCTTGTCGTACCATCATCGTGCGTTCTCAACCATGATCAGTAGTATGGGTATAGTAAGATTTTGACTTCTATTGTGCAGGACAGTCAGAACAACTTTCAGCTAGCCTCTGACTCAAATAAGAGTCTAACAGTGACAGCAACAGAGTAGAGCACATTGTTGGATTTAGTAGTAACTCTTGAGAACTAAATGACTCAGGAGATCAGGCAGCGGATAGTCAACAGGAGCAAGAAACTGAAGAAATGATACCTGAGTCTAGTACATCTCGATACAGACGGAAAAGGACATGAGTCCTCCGTGGAAACTATGTGCCATGGCATAATATACATGAACCTATAATAAAACACCAAATTAAATCAAAGTAGGTGAAAAGAAAAACTTAATCTGTAAGAAAAATGGAAAACATCACAAAACTCCTCGTTAAAAAAGTCTGGAAAAGATGTGTGACCCTCCCCTTGAATAGCTTACAAAGAGGTATGACCCTCCCCTTTTGGTGCTCACTTTCACTGATGACCCTCCCCTCTGAGACCCCAGCCCTCCCCCCCAAGAAAAAAACATACCTTCCCTAACAGTCTAGAATTGAATTTTCAAGAAACCAGGGCCAGACTTGAAATAATTAAAACAGAGTTTTGAAGGGGTAAAGTGGATAACCGTAGTTTACCATAATGTCTACCCTCCGGCTTGTGGTGAGCCTTGATTTAGCCAAAAACCTGTTTAGAATCTTAAAGACGATTTCTAGTCCGTACTGCGCAGTCTCAGCACCCTAATGTTTATAAACTTTATAAGTCTCACCTGATGGAATGTGAATCAGTGTTATTCATTACGAGCCACATCTTTGAGGCCTTTCAAATTCTTTTTCCAACAGCTTCATTGATTTGTACAGCTGCAAAGTTGTTTCATCTAGTGATATGAGAAAAAACGAAGCATAACGCTTTGTGTGATCTCATATCCATAATGGCAGTTGACATGAAACTTTGAATTTACTCCATGTAAATGGTTGCAAAATGTTTTTCATTTTGTGATGTCTTACATGAAACAAAACAAAAAATGTAAACAAATGCGAGAGTGCTCAGGAGTTATTTTCTCTCTCTTTTTGGTTGGGGGAGGAGGGGGTAGGCATTACACAAAATTATCTGTGAAATGAAAAAATATTTTCATCGGGTATTTATTCCTGTAGAAGTTGGTGGTACTATAACTAAGATTTGCAGATAAGACATGCTTTTTCAACTGTTCTCTCAAATTTCTGCCCCAGTTACTTCCTTGTCTCATGTGTGGTACATTCAAGGACTTCATACACGAGCTCAACTTCTGGATGAGCTCAGGGGGAACACGCTCTGTTATTCATTTCGATGCAGACCATAATATTCACTGCATTGTCGCAGGTCGCAAAGACTTCATGATGATCGACCCTGACTTTGCACCATTTCTGAATCTAACAAAGGTGAGTCTGTGGTAAATCCATTATGATATTGATTAATTTTTACCAAGTGTAAATTTTCCATTAAATCAAAAAAGCCTCAAGTATTAGTTTACTAAAGATGCTGAAAGGTTGATAACAGGACCAAGCATGGACAAAGTGCTTAATCTTGGGGAAGATTAAAATGGATTTCAACAGACTAGCTTGAAACAATCTCATTCCTTGGGTATCCATTCCTTGCCGCTCAAGCTTGACAACTTGAGCAACTCTTTAGTTACAGGATTGATTCTAATTGGTGTTAAGGAGCCTGGCAACAAATTTTCGTCACTTTTCCAACAGCTATATGCTTTGGCAGATGAATACTATTTCAGTTTATTAAGTGATGCTACAATATTGGTATCATGTAAATGCCCAGGGATGGTGAACCAATAATGGTAACCTTAATAGCAATCAGGTGACCATAACAACGGTACAACCCAAATTGCGATAAGCATGATAAGATGCATCATTGTGCAAATTTTAAAAAATTCTATTGTATATCATAATATGTTCAGCGCCAACTTAAATATTTGAACATTCAACGTGGCTCTGAATCCTCTGGATAGAAATTTTTAAAACTTTGCCAAATAATGCAAGTTATTCTTCAATAAAAAGTAATAAAAAATGGGGGTCACTGAGCTTGTTTTTGAATTATTAGCAGATAAAGCTAAATTAAGGGTGTTTTTAACAGGTATTACTGTTGCTATGGTAATCTATTGTGTCACAAAAGTGATAACAACATCTTCACCAATGATTGGGCAGTTTTTGGATACCATAATTCAAGCATCAACTGATAAAAAGTGGTTATAACGACCCATGAAAATCTAAGGCTTGGAAAGTGCTGGAAACTGTTACCAAACAATGGAAACGAGGGGAAATGAAACACCAGCATCTCGATTGAGCCATGTTTTTGTTAGTTTAATAGGCATGCACAATTCAACCGGAAGTCCAGTATTTTCAGACTTTCAGTCAGAACTTTCCAGGGTAGCTCATGTTCCACCGCTTGTCTGAGAGGAATGAAGACTCTGGGCAGGAGCGAGCCTGAGTAGCAAGCGTTCCCCTACAAAGAGCTTTCCCGCATTCTGACCAGCTAGAGCAAAACATCAACGAAGAAGGGGCTGGTGGGCCAAGAGAGGGAATCCCTCTCTCGCCCCACCACCCTCTGTTTCATTGATTTTTGCTCTCGCTCTTATTTACGCGCAGCCAGAATGCGGAGAGCTCTTCGTATGGGACCGCGTAGGAGGTTGAGCTTTTAAATCCACGTTGGATGAGCGGGCCATCAGTCAAGTGGCTCAGCTTGATTTCTAAAATTGCTACACCCAAATTCTCCTTACTTTACCACTGAAGATGATGAGGATAAAGGAAATCATCATTATGAGGATGCAGTCTTGATGTTCTACCATTGAATTCCTTCGAACAAACAGTTAAGGAGCGTCTAGTAATCAGTAAGGATAATTAATAATTGTAAGGCTGGAAATGAAACCGGGTTGAAATTCGAGCAGGTACATCTGTGTCCCTTAATTTCAGTGCGAAGCTTGCAGGAAGTTTTGAAAATAAATCTCTGTCTTGGCATTATAGCTGCAAGGCCAGACAGTATGTCATCAATACAGCAGTGTATTGCTTAAACCTAGCATGGTCAAACCCGTTATATTATTAAACAAGCGTCTTTTTTGACTTTGTCTTTCAGCCACCTCAGTTCGGTTCAGGGTTTTCAAGTATCAATCCAGATGTGGTTGATCTGAATCTGTATCCCGATGTTTCCAAAGTGGAATGGACTTACAGTACTCTTGAGCCGGGAGACTGTATTTTTATTCCTTCTGGTAAGGTGGTAAGCTTTATTCTACACTAAAGACCGCTTCGTCAAATGACTTTAACATGGCAAACTTTAAGCTTTGTGTTTGGCGATTGGTGTAAAAAAATCTCCAGAACTTTTTCCGGTCAGTTCCTTTTGCGATGTAACGATGTTTATCTTTCTTATTTGACGTCTGAGCAACGAGCCGGGAACACTATTTGCAATCGCTTTATAAAAATCTTTTTGCAGTTTTTTACAAGCGGATTCATTTTTCTCTAAGGTCACATACGCGAAGTGCGTCCATGTTAAGGCAACCGAATCGTCTCCGCAACAATGCCGTTCGCCCTCTCCCCCTACAAGCTGTTTGTATAAACATCTTTTTGCTGTAAATTACATATGGAGCTATTTTACTACCAGGTTACATACACCAGGTGCGTTCATACAAAGGCAACCGAACCATCTCCGCAACTATGCTGTTCACTGCGTCGTTAGACGACACGTTCGACAACTCCAGCTGTGAAAATGAGACGTACGAGTACCGAGCACTCAGCCAAGCCAAAGTGCATTGGACTTACAACAAGGGAGACAAAACGATCGATATGGGATATCAGAATGTAGAGAGATTCAGACAAACCTTACTGTCTGCATTTGAAGAACTGAAGGTATCAAAGTGTTTAGTGTAATATCTTGAGGTACTCTGTCTTCGTTTTCATTCCAACTAATATCCGTCGTCAGGACAATATGTAGCTATCACTCAAGTTAAGGTTAATGAAGGCAAATTAAACCCCGTAGAGAGTTTGTGAAGCTGACGTTTCACACACTGATTGACTGCCTGACTGACTGTCTGACCGACTGACAGACAGACAGACTGCCAAGAAGTCATTGATTGACTGAATGACACACTGACTGACTGACTGACTGACTGGCTGACTGACTGACAAACTGACTGATTATCTGACAGACTGCTTGACTGACTGACTGTCTGACACACAGACAGACAGACTGACTGACTGATTGAATGACAGACAGACAGACTGTCAAGAAGTGATTGATTTACTGGATGACAGACACACTGACTGACTGACTGATCGACAAACTGACTGATTGTCTGACAGACTGATTGACTGACTGACTGTCTGACTAACTGAAGGTTACGAGTTGCAGATGATAGCAACGAATGGAAGCGAAACTAATGTAACGTTTTGTTTTCTTTCTTATAGGCTGATACCTTAACTGAGGAACAATTTTCCGTTATAATAGAAGATTTGTTTGAGCTCGATGAAGAGGATGTGGAAGATATGCAGAGAGACACCCTTGAAATTTTCCACGAGTTATTGGATCCAGAAGGAAAGGGCTTCATAACACGTGACGACATTAAAGCTCTTTCCCAGGACACTTTAAAGCAGATTGCGCGGCGCTCTGAGGCGCCTCATGGTCCTGTCGCCGGAGCACCAGGTGACCTAGGAGGCGCCTCCAAGTTAAGAATGGATAGCAAAGCTGAAACTGGGCAAGATACAGAGAACGAAAGAAGAGACGAGTTGTAAAACAACAAAAGCTGAGATTGAGCTAAAAAATTAAAACGCATGGGTTATTCAAACTACACTTTTGGAAGCCTTTTGAATACTCTTTCATAGCCGTTACTTGTATCGTCGCACAATGCAATGGAACTGAGTATTGCGTGACAAGCCAGCTTTGAAGCAGGAAACATTTAGAGATTGGCAACATATCTTAGTAGAAATTTTATTGTGAAAGATCACTGTATATTTCTACGAGTCTTGCTGTGTTTAGGTGAGCAAAACAGACAAGTAGAAATTTTATTGCGAAAGATCGCTGTATATTTCTACGAATCTTACTGTACTTAGGTGAGCAAAACAGACAAAGAGATCAAATAATATATTTATTATTCTACGTTTCTTTCCCTAAAAGTCGAAACTGAAACTTGTTTTGCGTTCTTGACTATTCTGGTCTCCAACAGAGTATAAATTATTAATTCCAGAATCCAACCAGAGGGCTATTAAAGGGAAACCGTTGTAGAATGAGTAAAAGTAAAATAAAAGGATACACTACTACATCACCTGTTCGTATTAATTTTACTGGACTTTTGAACAGTTGTAAATCATGGTTGGCAAATCATGTTACTTTGTAAACAAACTATGAATGTCGCTTTAACCTTGAAGTTAATTATTTTAGTGGGTTTTACGCTAACAACACTTGGAAATGGTGAGTGATCGCATTACTTTGTGCAACCCTTTGGTGAAAATGGCTTCGGTGGGAGAGGGCGGTCATTCAGTAAAACGAGTCGAGAGGAATCTGGGAACTTACGTAGTCTCTTTCGTGTGCGGTGTTACATCGGGAGTGATCAAACATCGAGCTCTACTGACTGAAAGGTTTGACAGTTAAACTGGATTTCTGTGAAAACATGAAATCATCTTTCTTTAGTATGTAGTAGAGACTTCATCAGAAAGTAATATTTTCTTTTTATTTGCCAATTCTCTTACTCAAAAGCCCTGAAAAACTGAGAACATCAATCAATTTTTGTTCTTCATTAACTTGATGAAAGGCCGTCATTATCTCGGGAACAACCACCCTCCCACCCAACCCAAGCTAAATCATATTTCCCATTACTATACTATTTTCGAACAGTAAGTAGGGATCTCTAACGTCATCTGCCAGCCTTCACGAAAAGGTGCGATGGCACCAAGGGGTAGCGTGACGGATCGCGCATGTCGAAAATCCGGCCTACATTTTTCAACCGTTTGTTCCCTGTTCTTGTGGTTCCATTGCACATGGAGGTAAGTTTTTTTACACCGCCCAGAAAACTACTTATATGGTGAAATAGCCTCTAATGTCTCCGCCCAATGACGTGATCAAGGTTGCTTCGAAAGTTATCGATTCAGTTGCCCTCCATAAAGCGGAAGCTAACACTAGGACAGCAGTTCTTTGTACAACCCCTTTTATTTAAATAGTCACAAGCGACTGTCTTAATGGTGTATAAATTAACCTCTCCAATGGCCTTCTACAAACAGAAATAGTATCCGTAAGTAAATATATCATACAACTCCTCGATGATTTTCAATTAAATAAACGTGCTGTGCTCTTATACAACAACATTGAACTTTCTTGGGTTGTGCTCATTACACAAACGGCAGACAAATTCTGACATCTGACTTAGAAAAATTGCTGGTTCTAGAGAATACTAAAAGGGGCGTGGGTGAACAAATTGAAAAATTACCCTCCTTTGAAAAACACCGGGCCCGAAATATATTCTGTGTCCAAAGCACCGACTTTAAGAATAAATAGTCCAGACAAGATCACAAAATTTATTTTAAAACTTTTTCGTTTTCGTTATGCCACCTCATTTTGCTAAATATATATTTGAAAATGTATCTTAACCTGTAATTTGTTACTATCTAAACAACAAACATATTGCTTGCATGGGCACATAGGAGTGTACTCAGGCTGGTTTCAGTTTCGTTACTAAGACAGATGATCTTGATTCTAATTTGAATCTGTAATTAAGCTGAAGGGTTGCTTTTCATCAGGGCTATGTCTCCTTCTACCATTTCCTTGACCAGTTCCTGAAAAAAACAGAGTTAAAAACGTTTTATAAGAATTTAAAAACTCTTATCAACTGTATATACCAACTTAGTGGTAATAGATAACTCCCAAAACTAATAAGGAACGCTATTGAAAACATTTAACAGAAGAAACCTCCCAGTTCACCACGCCAATCAGTCACTGCGCTAACTAGCGAGTCGCATGTATCATGTAGGGATTATTGAACTACTTTTGAACGTTTACCATGGACCGAGCCAAAGGCCTATAGAAACAAATACTCTCCTGTACCAACCAAATAAGCTAATTTGGTAAAGTATTATTATTAGAGCGGTTTTCAATTGAGCGTGGTAAAACCAAAACCAAACCAATCACAAACCAATTAGACTACTCAGCCAATCTCAAACAGCAGTAAAACCAAAACCAAAACCAAAACCAAGGTAATTGCCTGATAACTTTCGACACTCAGTTGGAAACCGCTCTAACTGTTCTTTTAAAACTTTGTTTGCAAGCATATATTTGTCTTTTCGACGTCGCTGTTCTGAACATATGCTGGAAATTGTCCGTGAGACGTGAAGGAAAAACGATTTCTACTTATCAACAAACTAACGTATTTTGTAGTATGTTTGAAACAACAGTTAACCAAGACTAATTCGTGAGCGGGTACGTGGTAGCGGTAAGCGGTCGTTTAGTCCCCAAACAGAAGTCGATTAGCCCCCATATTCACCCTTGAAGAACGAGAAATAGACAGTGTTTTCGACTTCTGGTTGGGAACTAACCGGCTACTTCTAGTTGGGGGCTAGCCGGCTAGGGGCTAATCGACTTGGAGGCTAAACGACCACTATNGGGGGTGCTAAACGACCGTCGTAGTGGACCGTATTGCCAAAAAAAAGTCGCTTAGGGAACCAATCAGAATTGTTCTTTTCATTGTGGATCAGTTTTCCATATAATAAAAACTATAAAAGGTTGGTTGGGTTTTCAAATATTTCTACCAAATGTTTATATTTAGGCTCGAAGACTCCAAGACAAAGAGAGATACTGTATCTTGTCTTCAAAGACCCTAATTCATTTGGGTCCCTCCTTGCTGCAAAAGGTTTTTCACCAAATTCCTCCTCAGAAATCATCATTTCTTAAATTCAAATTCAATCTAAGGTGGGAGGACCACTGCCTCACAAGGTGGAAAAAGGCTTGGTATGCACCAGTCTCAATAAAAGGTCATCGCTAAACAAGGGAATTAACCTAATTATACCACTTCTAACAAGGGATACACGTCACCATGTGCATGTGTAACATAGAACAGGTACCTCAAAAGACACTTTAGGTTTCCAGCCAAGAAGTTTGTATGCTTTCTCTGATGATCCCTGCAGGTAATCCTGGTAAAATAATTAACATGTAAATAGTTTTTTCTTTTGCACAGATGGTCTTCGCCTCTCATTATTAAAAGTTATTTTCTGTCCTAAGTGATATATTCCAGTTTAACAAATTGCATTTTACTTTCCCAGGTTCCAGTTTGTTTTCGTCTCAAATTTGTAGTTTTGCCTCAACTAATTTGTAGATGCAGCATGGCTGAGTGGTTAGAGCGCCGCACTTGAAATCTGGAGGTCGCGAGTTCAAGTACCGTTCTGACAACTAGCTGGTGTTGTCTTCAGTAGTCCCGAGTTCAACTCCTTGGCCAGGCTTGTAAATAGCCAACTGGTCTGTCTCTTGCCAAGAGGGAGATTTAACCATGTTGTGTTCATTTACATGATTTGTTTCATTGTTTGTTTCCTTTGGCTCTGAAAAGCCCCACTGGGGGAGTGGTCAATTAAGGTACATTGTATATATTTATTTAAATTGAATAGAACTAAATGTTTTGAACAGAGTAGCAATAGTTTTGAATAGTGACATTACCATTTGACTTCTAACAGTTTGGAAGCTAGGAGAGGTCTCCCAAAGGAGTGACAAAATTATTATCCTTCAAAATAGTGGTAGGATTACAACTACAATCGCCTCCATTTGGTGTGACAATATGCATAACTACACTTCATTATGGCTCAGATGTTACATGGTTACTAGTTGTTTTATGGTTTTTTCCATGTAATATAAGGTTAAGTCTGTGTCAGGCCAAGTGGTCCCTACAGTGGGAGCTTATCCCGGTTTTTGTAGAGCTAAGCAACTAGGAGTATCCCCTTGGGATGTTAGTCCTTGGCAGGGTTATCCCCAGCATCAAATGGTAGTGTCATAACCAGTGCCCATTTAATATACAACTGAACGGAGAGGGGCACTGTGAGGGTAAAGTGTCTTGCCCAAGAACACAACATGTTGACCCTGGCCACAGCTCGAACCCAATCCATCTGGAGTCCAGAACGGTAACCATTTGACCACTGTGCCTTTGTGTTCCAGGTAAGATGGTAAATTTTAATTTTGACATGAAAATGGAATTATTACATAATCCTAGTAAGAGAAATATGAAGTTCTGATTGGCTAACATTTATAGAATTAAATTACCAGTTTTATCAGAACAATTAACTCACCACTTCTGTAGGTCTGTAGAACTTGGGGTTCACCTTCACAAGAACTTTTCCAGTCTCTTTGTCTTTTCCAACTTCTGTATCACCTTCTCCCTCCCATCTGGGAAAAAAAGTCGAGCCTTTTATATTTTGCTGAAGTGTCTGGAGTGAACAAACTGCTACAATGTATGTCCCCCATTATTTCTTACTGTTATTATTTCTGAACTTGCTCTTTCCTCTCCAATATTCAAACTGGGATAAAACGGTCAGTTTTACCTTTATAATGATGTTAGCAACATCAAAACGTCAGACAACTACATGTACAGTTTTATTACTTCTATTGAGGTTTTTCAGTAAACTGCTAAATATTGACTGGATGAGGAAAATATCTTGAGTTTATTGACCAACTGGGAGGGCTGGATGTGAAAATAGTTCGCTTGAGATCAAGGTGTGGCATGGGTATAATAAGTTCTATGCAAAATGATAGAGGACCAAACATTTTCAAGTCTGGCCAACCCTTAAGTGTCGTATTGTAAGTAGGGTAAGTACAATGTAAGTAATTATGTGTTTTGCAATAAACAAAAAGTCTGGCCAGACCTTTCCCAGTTAATATGTATTCTATGATATCAACTTGATCAGGGTTGATTATGTTTCAAAGTTGTGAAAATGTGTTTTGGTATCTGTTAAGAATTGTGCACACTACTGAATAAACTGTTGAGGAGAAACAAGAAAAGGCAACATTAAAGAGGGCTCCTGCATAGCTTGGGTGAAGAGGAGTTCACAGTATTGATAGACTTACACAATGCTTATGCCAATTTGTTGGAAAGCTGCCACAACAAATTCTCTTACACTATGAACTTCTCCAGTTGCCACTACAAAGTCTTCTGGTTGTTCATGCTGTAAAACAAGCCACATGGCCTACAAAAGAAGGACACATCCACATACTTAATACAAAATAAGCCAACATAATATGGTGCAACCAAACTAACATGTGAAGCAAATTATCAGGGTGTTGCATTCTGTTGGGAAAAGTAAATTTGGGAAAAGTCCTCTGGATAAGATGCTAGTCAGACAAGCCCAGCACTTTTGTCTGGGTTCCCCCTGGGGCAAGAGACACTCGCGTGGCAGGGATGGGGATGCTCGACATCATAATTAGGATGTTGGTTTTGGTATCCCTAAGCATGTTCAGCACAGAACACCATCAAATTGAGAATGCTAGTACTAAAAATCACTTGCCGTCATAACGATGGCTGTAGGGAGACAGTATACATAAGGTATACAATGGCAGGTTAGAAATGCAAGTTAGCACAGGCAGTCAAGGTGTGATTCCAGGGAATATCCATACCCACCCCAAGGAATGTCGTTGGAAATGCTGTGAGGGAAGGGAGGGGGATTTTCAAAGCCAAAGCGTTTACAGGAAAGTATGAAGCTTAACTGGAACTTCCAGCAGGGCAGGTGGTAGGATCTTAAGCAAAAGAACTCTATGTGAGAAGGGCATGGATACTTTCTGAAATACACCTACATGTACAAAAAAGAAAATAAATCGACTTGCAGTATTAATTACATTACACATATATTTTAAAATGATTTTTACCTCAACATAATCTCTGGCATGTCCCCAATCTCTTTTGGAGTCCAGATTTCCAAGTTCAAGCTATGAGAAAAAAAAAAGATAAATATATGTTAAATAAAAAGTAGATCGATGCTACTTAAGTACCATTTATAACTGTCGATCGAAAATGTTTCACACTGGGGAACCTCAGAGTCCCTGCCAAAGTCATCCAAATGTCATGAAATTCTCGTGGTAAATAATGTCATTGATATTGTTTTCAACAGTTGTTTAATTGTTTTCTGTATGATTACACTTTGTTGTAGCATCATTCTGTTGAAATTTGGTAAGCTAAACTTGTTGATGAGCATCTTTTATTGTGACTAAATGTAACTTAGGCTAAGTTGACTTTGAAACAGCTGCAGGGCAGAAGGTAATCCTTTTCTTGATGTGGGGTAGCCACACGGGTTCACAGGCCCCCNCCCCCCCCGGTGATCTTACAGGTTAGGTTATTTTGCTTCTGTTGCAACACAATTATGTTGCATCCAACTTCACTCTCGACCCTTCTGTCATCTTGTCATTGTAGGATTGAAAAGTTAAATTACTTTTGCTGAAAAGTCGCCAGGTTTTGATTAAGACCCTCCACTATTTTGAAGTCTGTAATATTACACAGCCACAGAAACATACAGGCTGCTGCCACAAAGACACTTGGCTTATAGCCCAGTAAAACATGGAAAAAGTTAGCAGATCCAACAAAACACAGGATGAAAAAACATTAACCTTTCTTTAAATTTGACAAGGTTTGATTCTTACCCAAGCAGTATTACTGATGGTAAATTAATTGAAATTAATGTGATCAATATATTACCATGGAACTCTAGCTTACCTTATCTTGAAGTCCTAAATGAATTTTAGCCACTGCTCTTGTTATCTTCCTTGTTACAAAAGTTTCACCTGAATTGAAAAATTATTTGGTATTACTCAGTGAACTTATGATAACTTGATCTAATCAACAGAGAAAGAAAAGAACCAACTGAAGATTTGAAATGCCGAAAATGATAAGAGAATCTGTACCTCTACGTGGACTTTCATGATTGAACAGGATTCCATTAGTAGCAAACATATTGTAGGCTTCTCTATAATTTACAACAATCCAGAAAGCATACACTTTGGCTGCCCCTGTTGACAAAAGATTAGAGCTGAGCATGAATATAAATTGTATGGGTTGTCTCACCAGTATATGCTTGCAACTTTGTGAGCAAACAAATTGGGACTGTTTCATCATACAATATGATTCCGCTCTTACTTGGTGTAGAAGACAGCTGACGTAAACAACAGGAAACAAAAGGACAAAAGAACAAGGAAAACAATGAAAATAATAGGTTTGTGGGGCGGTGTTCTTTTGTGACGTGTACTGTGTCTTCTAGACTAATAAGGAACCTATGATTCATATTACACTTCAGTATGTGCCACTTCATTGATTTCATTATTTGCTTTATAAAGCAAAGAACTAATTGGTTTCTGTTGTTTCTGTTTTGAATAAGGCAAAACAAAGGATGCCGAGAGCGTTTTTCAGCCCATTTTTTTTTTCTTAAAAATGGAGTGGAAACTTGTGAGAAAAAACACCAGCTGTGCAATGTTGTTCAATTGATTTAAAGGCCACATGCAAAAATTCAGCTAATTTGTACCAAAAAGTCCCAAAATGGTCACTTTTCCCCTTTACCACTAGCTTCTTCATGTTCTAATTATGTGCAATTAATTCCCAACATACATGTCAAGTTAAGAAAAGTTAAGATGAAAGGAAGTCTGCAGTACTAATAGTTTGAGAGAGAGCACTTATTACCTATTCATCCCTTTAAACCAGTGACAATAATAATCTATTCTTACCATAAGGAGACCTGGGATAAAATGGGGTCTTTTCAGTCTGTGGGATTTCTTGGACTTTTCCAAACATCTCACTGGTAGAAGCCTGGAAAATAATGAAACCAATATACTGAGTGTATGATAGACTGTTATAGTTAAAATATTTCTAGAATTACCGCAGCACTGCCCAGTCCATGTCACAAGGTTGTCACAAAGTTATTAAGAGGGTGGCTTTATTGCCAGACTCTATACATTGTTGTGGAGGCGTGGTGCTCTCATGGTCTGTGGGTCTCAACTTCGGATTGAGCGGTCCAGGTTTGAGCCCTGGCTGGGGACATTGTGTTGTGTTCTTCATAGCCAAAATACTTTACTCTCACAGTACCTCTCTCTACCCAGGTGAACAAATGGGTACCAGCAAATTTAATGCTGGGGGTAACCCTGTGATGGACTAGCATCCCATCCAGGGGGGAGGGAGTAGAAATACTCCTAGTTGCTTCATGCTTCAGAAAACAGAATATGTTCTGTTCTGTTCAGACTTAACTCACATTGTAGGTGGCTGATTTTGCCATCATTTTCAAAATATCAGATGAATATCCAGCAGAGGAGCCAGCTGAGATTTCACAGGATTCAGGTGACATAAGGGAAATATTTTTGTTATTAAATATAATAACAATAATTATTTGTTTTGGTACATGTACCTGATAGAATCTAACAGTATTTTCCATTCCACAGGTTTTGATTGCATCCAAAAGTCTTAGTGTTCCAACGGCATCAACATTAGCAGTATATTCAGCTAAATCAAATGAAACCTGAAATATAAGGAAAACAGAAGGAGTTAGTATATGTATTTCCTTTAAGAGAGAACCTGTGGTTACACTGACAGTCACAAAGTATGTCTGCCTTAAAATGTTGATTGTGGACCCTCTCTGAACTCGTCAAACCCAACATTTCAAAACACTTCTGCAAAGAGATTTCTGCCATGAAGGGCTGGTGTCTCCTATAAGGGGAACCTCAAAATTGTACTTTTACTGTAGTTGTTAATAGTCAAATTAAATTAATATGATCAAGTATTTAAAATTAAAATTAAATTAATATAATCAAGTGTGAAACAATGAAAGCAAATAGATTCATCTAAATGAAAGCAGGCTTGGCCAATTCTTCGATTTTCAAGGGAAAAGTACTAGTAGCAAGACATATCTTAAAACTGGCAGGGGTGGACCCAGAATATTCAGAGGTAGCCAAAGAAATTGTGGTATGGCACAAGCCAGCCCCCACCCCAATGGGTCAAATACAAGAAAAAGGGGTGTCATGGCCCTCTTGCCATCCACTAAATCCTCCACTGACTAGGACTGCCTAATATTCCAAACATCCTTAGAAATCCTTGGACGTCTTCATGCATGCATTTTGGTTGTCTTCAAAAATCCTGGAATTCCCTGGGTAAAATTCTCATACCTGTCACTTGAAAAAAGTTGGCAGGTATAGACTGACTGTAGCCAGCACAAAAAATCAACCATACCAGGTAAACTGAAATTTATTTATCAAGGTTTTCCAAAATAATGTTTAAAAGAGACACCATTGTAGTTTTATTTATTTGATAGAACATTCACCTTCACGTGGCTTTGTGCTCCTAAATTATAAACCTCAGTTGGCTTGACCTAAAGTAAAAAAAAAAAACAACAATTATACCAGTAAAAATATTATAATAATTATATCAACGATTATAAAAATAATTATATTCTTTACTGTTACTGTCATACATTTCTTTTAATGTCAGCTCTCAGAGTTTGGTGGCAAATCCCAATATTATAATAATCTGCTAGTGATGTTGCTTATGGTAATGATGTTCTGTATTATTGTCACCTGACTACTAGACAATTTATTGAGATTTATTGAAATCCAAATGATAGCTGCAATATTGATTATGACATTGCTCATCATTGTAATACTTGGCAATTAATAAGCAAAGTGCGATGCAAGAAGTCTGTTTTACAATCAGACCTGTACCAAATGGTTACCCTTGGGTATGGACTGTAGTTAACAAGTCTCTACCCACTGAACCCCAGGTGAATTTAATGGTTCACAGAAAACATTGAATACATTAACCCAAGTCATGTATCTCCAAATCAGCCACTCAGTGTCACGACTTTTTTAAAAATACAAGTCATCATTAGTGTAGTGTCGCTATATTGCATTACGGTCATGCGCACTAGGAGTCGGTCAAGTGAGTAGTATCGAAGATTACTGTAATTTACTGTAAGGGAATAAATAACAAGTATTCACAATCAAGGACTCCATAACTGGTGATGAGGATAACTCAAGCGAATTCCACTACAGCAACACTTCACTTAATCGTCACTTTGGATCAAATACACTGGATAAACAATGGCAAAACATGTTCAGTTTTCAACGCCACGTACGCTGGCCGCCATTTGAGTAAGGCAGGAAACCAAAGTTGAACACTCACATATTGTCGTCATAATATTACATCGAAAGATTACATCGAAAAATTACCTCAAAAGATTACATGGGACGATCATACAGTTGCCGAAGCGAAATGGCGAATGTCCTACCTCCATTTCCTTCATTTTCCGTCCACGAAGACAACGCTTCAGTTGGCTCACATTGGAAAAAATGGCTGAAACGTTTCGAAATGTATCTCGCCGCTCATGATGTGAAAGATGCAACACGCAAGAGAGCGCTGCTACTATACTCCGCTGGTGAAGAGGTCAGCGACATTTTTGAAAC